TATATATTTGGATCACACTACAAACATTTTACATCCAATAATTTCTTCCTCTGTCTCTCCTCTCTCACTTTTATTCCATCATGCTGTCTCGCACCTTCAGTCAATCAATTCATCCTGCTAAACCTCTCACCTCCTGCCATTGTGTCTGTTCTTGAGCTGATTAAGCATAATTTGACAATGGAGTGAAAAAGAATAACAGGTGAAAAGGTGAAATGTGAAAAAAATAAATAAACAATGGAAAGAAAGCGAAAAAAACAAAGGGAAGGGTTATATTAGAAAGCTTGATTGAATCCACTGTACAAAACTGCTCCTAATTACATAGGCAGTAATTCAACACAGTCCCCCAACAGGTGCAAAATGTTTACAGCCTGATGGGGAACTCAGTCATGGCCATTAATCTCCATTAGAACCATGCAGAGGTGTGTGGTGGATGTACGCTGCCCTAAGAAGGACAGAGGGCCTGGTGAACCTTGCAATCATGGAGTATGCCTTTGTCGTCTTCATAACCAAGATGTTGTGTGCAGGAGTCTTGCTAAGCAACAGTGCTATCATTATATGTCTATTCTCATTTAATATTAACACATGCAACAACATTTCTTAATATAAGAACCAATATTGCCGAATGTGGTGTCCTACCCAGACCCCAATGTCATTTTGTTTCATTTTATGCTAATTTAACACTTGATGGTGTTTCATCATTGCATAATGGCTATGCTTCCAATGACCCAAAGCAGCAGTCCCACTATCTAATATTCATTCAAAACCAGAAGCAATTTTTGGAAAACCAAAAGAGAGAAGATTCAATACAAAAGCATTTCATTTTATTTTATTCGGCGGATGCTTTTCAGCCTCTGCATCAGCAGCACTGAAGCTTGTCCATCATCATAAGCCTGAACTCCTCATTATTTCTGGATTCTATCAATCTGCCCAAGTCTACAGAGATGCTCTCGAGTCAGAAACACAATATTAAAGATTCCGACAGAAAATAGAACAATTCCTCTTCAGACTTGCTAAATACAAAGAGTCAGCCAGAGAGATGCTGGGATGCAGTCTCACAGAATATTGGGGGAATGTTACATGTTAGAAAAACCAAACACAGCATGTGTGATCTTTTTAGGAGTCTGAATAGAATTCCTCATACATACACCTAGGGGTTTCCACATATCTAGGGATGACTGCTTAAAAGAATAGCACTATTGTTGTCCTGTCATGTAAGAAAAAAAAAAAAAAGGAGACACTCCAAATGTTACAATGCACAAATGATGAGACTTCTTGACACATTATGACAGACAACAAATAGGCACCAGAACCTGTTTGCATCCGTGTAAATAAAAAAGATGAAATACAACCTACAATGATTAATTATTATTTTATTTTTTTTTAAGTGAAAAGTCTGCAAAGACAACGAATAGTAGCACAGATTCCACCATATCGCATAATACACCTAAATTATCATAAATAATTCAAATGTCTTAACATTTCGCTTCCCGTTCCCATATAACAATAGGTTATAGTATGCTGTAGATGTGCACCCAAGTGTACGACTGACTCCAGACATGCAACACAAGAATGATTGCATGCGCGCTCTGTAAACTACTAAGATTGATTTGGTTGTCACGGCGACTGATAACGTACATAGCCGGGCGCCTTTGAACTGTAAGTAGGCCGCGAAAATAGTGGAACACGTATCTAACGCAGAGCACGACACTGTAATAGTCCCGCTTTCAGGTAGCAACAGAATATCAAACAATATTTTAATATTATAATTCAACAATTCCTAAACGTATCAGCCCTTTTGAGCAAGCCTAATTTTTCCTGCAGAGATTTAATGGCTAGTCAATGTAAAATCAAGCATACCAATAAAGGTCATTTTATTATTCAACAATTTCCTCCAAATCGCTGTGGATATTTTAAAAAAATTGCATTAAGTGTTTATTAATCCCCTTTTCTGCTGGTAAACTGCAAATACGTTTGCAGTGCGTCTTGCGTTTATGTTTACAGTGTGCACGTCTCGGTCACGCTGTAATTTCACTGAGGAACACTACACACAATTTGGTACGTTGCCAAGTGACTAGTAAAAGACAGTATCCTCAACAACAGATATGGTATTTCTCCGTTAGAGAGTAACGATAGCCTATACAAAGTTTGGGTTATATTTTTTTTAACTTTTGTGAAGTCTGACGGTAAGCATGCTATGAATTAGTAGCAGAGGTTGTTCATTACGCGTTTAATATACAGCCAGTGTTGTGACGTTCAACTGAATACATGTTGACTAAAGGAACTTAACCTCTGCATTTTGTCTTTTAACGTTCAAATAAATCTAGCATTTTTTAACACCAAATTTATATTTCGAGAAAAAAAAACCAGGGGTCGATTTTACAGACAAATACGCGTTAGCTACAGAGATAAGCAGCATACAGAAGCTATCGACCCCAAATATATGTGATTGTTTGTAATTGGTAGCCTCCAAAATAACGCGTTGTCAACGTGCATTTTGTGCCACGCATTACTCACTACGCCGAATTAGCGTGTATTTAAAGTACTGCATGCAATGTCCGGTTTGGTGCGCCTCCAAGGCAGAAGGCTTGATTTTTCATTTTTGATAATACGCTAGCAAGCTAGCTAGCAACATCATCCCATCCCCCCTCTTTTCGCCCCTCTCCCCCTTTTCTGTCTCAGTCTACCTTCCGTATCACGCAGTAACTCTCAATCGCATTCCTTGCATTTTTAAGACACCCCCTCCTCCCTCAGAAATGACAATACTGATGGCTGTACGTGGAGCCAGCGACAATATAATGCATGGAAGTGAATGAACAGCACTGCGAGCGAGAGTGGGAACATGCATTGCATTGCACTGCGTCCGTCCGTCCGTGGGCATTGTTACAGCCAGCTAAGCATATTTATGCATCCAGCGCATGGAAGTGAACTTGCACGAGCGCCTTACCTTGCCTTCGCCGATCTCTCGTAACTCCATCCCGTTCCAGCGCCCAGATCACCGAATCCTGTGCCAGGATAATTTCTATCCATTAAAGAAGAGACAACGGATGAAGATGGAGAGATAGACGGGGGAAGGGGAGGGAGGTATTTCCTAAATTCTAACACACTATCTCTCCCCGTGTCCTTTCCTCTGCGTTCAGTGTCTGTTTATCTCTCCCGTTTCACAAGCAAGTCCTCAAGAATAGGACCAGCACAGAGGGGGAGAGGAATGGAGGGAGAAGGAGGAGGGGGAGATGGATACAGAGGAGAGGGGAGGGGAGTGGGGTGAAGTACACCAACCACCGTCACCACAAAAAATCCGGTTTCTTCCTCCCCTCCCCTCTTTTGCCCTCTTATATATCTCGATGCCTATTGTCCTTCCTAGCAGAAACAGTAACGCGGCTGATGCTCTACATGTCGAATTCTGATGCCATTGCTTGTTACACCCGAGACGTACGACACGTGCTTGATTGTACCCCATTTCCTCTCAGTTGTTCGCGTACTGCATTGCCATCAAAAGGTGAGATACTAGGTCTCTATAAATAGTAAACCGAGCGCGCGTTTTTTCAGCTGTTGCGGCCCAAATATTTACGTTATGGATATACACGGGATGGTACCACCTCCTCGGAAACAAAGTGGCTTGTTGCGCCTAGGTTAATTTAAATCCTTAAAGTTTATAAGAATAATACAAGGGGCTAGTGTAATGCTTCAATGCCTTACATAAACGCTACAACGCCCGGGATTTAAAATCGCTATTTTCAGGTATTTAGCCAAGACGACGCCATTTTTATGAGTGGACTAACAGGCGCGCGCGCACACACACACACACACACACACACACACACACACACACACACACACACACACACACACACACAC